CCGGGGAGGGGCAGAGAGAGAAAGGGAGGCACAGAATCCTGAGCAGGCTCCAGGCTCTGACTTGTCAGCACAGAGCCTATTGTGGGGCCCAACCCCACAAACTGCAAGATCCTGACCTGAGCTGAAGTTGGATGCTGAGCTGAAGCAGGCCCCAGGCTCTGACCTGTCAGCACAGAGCCCAACATGGGGCTCAGATTCATGAATTGCAAGATCATGACCTGAGCTGAAGTTGAGGTTGGAGACTTAACCTACCGAGTCACCCAGGTGCTCCTAAATTAGTTGTAAATTCAAAAAGAACACGCACACATTCTATTCCTTTAAAAATCTCAAACAGAAACCCCAGTGATCTTGGAGCATTCAGATGAAAAAGGCTCTCATGTACATTGATGATATGCAAAAAACTTTCTAGAAAACCCTTTTGGCCAGATTTCTAAGAGTGACAAAAATTATCATATGCTTACACCAAGTCAGTTTGGTTTTAGGAAGTGATCCAAAAGAAATAAGATACATGCAGTGCTGTTTATAATGAGAAACTTTGAACCTAATGTCCAACAAAGGAGAATGACTAAATAAATTATGGAACCTATATGACAGACTCTTGTGCATACTCCCCGGGAAGCTTGGGGCTCAACAGAAGGCAAGTCTAAGTGCATTTTCTTCCCCCGAGGTCTCAGCAAGTTCTGTCCAGCTTTAACAGCACAATGCTCTGTAAGTCTATAACTTACCTTCATAGAACTCATTCCCAAAGGTTCTTTGTTGGGGAAACTGTTTAAAACAGAACCTCAGCAAACTGCCCTCAAGTCCCTACTACAATGATGGTTCTAGACAATCCTCGATTAGTTGTCCCCTTGGGTCATCTCCCGGCTTTCTGGGACGTTCCCGCAGGTGGCTGTCTGTCAGTGGTGGGAAAGTGTTTCACAAAAGGCTTTCTGGTGGTGAGCTGATAATGATGCAGCATTAGCCAATATCCGTGGTGTAAATGCCCCATCATGGCTGATTCAAGCTGCCAACATGACATCACTGATTACAGAGTTGAGAAGAGACATGCGAAGCACAATGTTTCACAGTACTTTTACTGCACAGATAGATGTAAATAACCACACATACAGAAATAATAGTAAAATCTAGTAAATAATTAGGAAACTATGAATTCTGAGTATTACCTTTTTTTTTAAAAATAAAATAGTTCATTGTAAGCTTATAGAATTTAACTTTTGATACCAGCTGTGGTTAACAGCTGGCTCACATTGTTCTTGAGAATGTAACAGTTTGTTCTTGTGAGCTGCTGTGAGCACACCACTGCCGGGCTGTCCACTCTGCTTCATTGCCCTAGGACTTGTGGCCTCCAGCACACATGCCCACCTCCTTCCATCTTTGTACAGAGTCCACCCCAGTCGACTGGCTGTGCAGGTGAAAGGGACAGTTTGGTCCCTTCCCTGCCCGGAGCCATTTCCCTCCTCCCCATCAGTGTCCCCACCACCACTACTGTCTCGGTTACCGCTTCCCACTCTCCTCTCTTCATTCATGATGTTCAGGGCTCTTGTGCTCAAGCTGAGAAAGGGCTAGGGGCACCTGGATGGCTCAGTCAGTTGAGAGTCCGACTTTCAGCTCAGGTCATGATCTCACGGTTTGTGGGTTCGAGCCCTGTGTCGGGCTCTGTGCTGACAGCTCAGAGCCTGGAGCCTGCTTTGATTCTGTGTGTGTGTGTCTCTCTCTAACCCTCCCCTGCTTGCACTCTGTCTCTCTCTCTCTCTCTCTCTCTCAATAAACATTAAAAAAATTTTTAAATAAAAAAATTTTTTTTTAACGTTTATTTATTTTTGAGACAGAGAGAGACAGAGCATGAACAGGGGAGGGGCAGAGAGAGAGGGAGACACAGAATCTGAAACAGGCTCCAGGCTCTGAGCCGTCAGCACAGAGCCCGACGTGGGGCTCGAACTCACGGACCGTGAGATCATGACCTGAGCAGAAGTCGGACGCTTAACCGACCGAGCCACCCAGGCGCCCCTAAAAAATTTTTTTTTTAAAGATGAGGAAGGGCTTGCAGTTTTTCATTTATGTCTTGGTGGGAATAAGTTTAACTGATGGTTATTTCTTCCAGCAAGTAAGTGGGACTTGTAAGTAAAGCCTTACTTGTCATTCTGAAATTCCACTGACTGGGATTTGAATCACAACTTTCCTATTAACTCGCTTTGTGATCTTGGATCAGCTCAGTAACCTCTCTGACCCTTACTTCATCTCTGCATTGGGGAAAACAACAGTCTGCCCTTCACAGAGTTTTTATGAAGATTTGATATGATAGTGTATTTAGAGTATTTAGCACAGAGCCTGGCACCTAGTAACTGCTCAATAAATGGTACTAATATATTTTGTATTTTATTTTTACTGTTTTGGGATGAAGGTGATTTGGGCATATCAAATAATAGCGTAGAGAGGTATTTAGAAGAGGCAGACACCTCTGAAATTATACTTTCCTTTTCTTCTGCCAGGCAGTGCTCTTTCTTGTTTAAAAACAATACAGCTTTTGGGGTGCCTGGGTGGCTCAGTTGGTTAAGTGTCTGACCTCAGCTCAGGTCATGATGTTGTGGTCTGTGTGTTCGAGCCCCGCACTGGGCTCTGGGCTGACAGCTTGGAGTCTGGAGCCTGCTTCAGATTCTGTCTCTCTCTCTCTCTCTCTGCCCCTCCCCTGCTTATGCTCTGTCTCTCTCTCTCTTTCTCTCAAAAATAAATAAACATTAAAAAAATTAAAAAAAATAATACAACTTTTTATTCTAATGCCATAACTCATGCAAAGTAGGCCAGCTGCACAATCTCAGGGTCATTTTTTTTTTCTGAGGCCATTGGTATTATTTAAAGATGATGATGATCATGTAGGTGGGAGTTATTTTTAAGTAATAAAATTAGAGAAATGTAGAAAAATGCGGAAATCCCTTTTATAGATATTTTTTCTTTTTCTTTTCCTCCTTCTCCCTCTTCCTCCACCCCATCCTCCACTTCTACTCTTCCTCTTCTGTCTTATTCCTCCTCCTCCTCCTTTTCTTCTTCTTCTTTTTCTTCTACTCTTTTTCTCACTCAGTCTTAGACATTTTTATTTCTAGACCCTCAAGAAACATTTGTTCTTTCAGGCTCCTGAGCTGATCTGAGAGTTTGTTAAGACTGTCAAAAGTTCAGAAATAACAGAAGTAAAACCAATACATCACCAAAGTAGTAATTAGTAAAAGTTTACTGTGTACACACCAAAAAGACAGTTTGCAAACTGGAAGTTCTGAAACCAAAACATGGAATGAAGCTCAGGGATATATTGTTATAAAGCAGCTTTTTAAGTGAGAAAGCAGTGACTGTTTATTCTTCACAGTGATTACTTACAATGTTAGAATTTCCTTAAATGATAGGGAATTGGTCAGTGATTACAGCTCAAGTTTTGCTTATGATTTCCAGAGGCATAAGCAAGAAATGATCCAGGTCAAGTTTGTCTTGCAAAGTCAGTGAAATGGAACCTTGTTTGTATGACTAAATGGGTTTTATTTGCTCATGGAATTTTCAAGGCTGATCTCTGTTTGTTTTTGATTTTAATAGATTCTTTGATGCCAATCCTGTCCATTCACACTCTGTTCCAAAGACACGTATGTTTACCCAGCTAGCATCAGACACGCTGCTATCATGGCCAGTGAGAAATTCTGATAATTCCTACAAATAAGCTGTGTCCCTTTGTGTAGTCACTTAGACTTCCAAAGCATTGGTTTCCTCATCTACAAAAGAGAAGTGACAAGTTTTGCCATGCTTCTGATACGGAGTTGTTGTGGGGATCTAATGAGATAGTGCATGTGACCGTGCCCTGTAAGTGGTAGAGCACAGAGCAAACACATGCTGGAAGTGACTTGTGTTTCTGACAACATATTCGCATAGAAGAGGCCACATGTCCTTCGCGCCCTCACTCTCTGCCATGGGTCCATGATCCTCCTCCCCCCTTCCAGGGGCCGTTGAGCTGATGGGTCCCCACCACCTCAGCTTTAACTCTCTTCTGAGATGAATTACCATTTTGTCACTTACTAGCTCTGTGACACTGGGCAAATGTCATAGAACCTTTCTGATTCCCAGTTTCCTCACCTGTAAATGTGCGTAACCATACCTTGCTGGGAGGATTGTTGCAAAGACTAAATGAATAATACATTCAAGGTGCTTAGCAAAGGGGCAGACACTTGGGATGTGCTGCTCAGCAACTCTTGCTGCTACTAAGTACCCCCATCTTCTTGAATGGTTACCTGTGGTTCGGCCCCCAGTGGAATCCCTGGCAGCCGGGCAGGTAGAATGGTACGCCACACTACTTCTGCATAACTATCTCTGCGAGGCCTACTAGTCTCTGCCTTGCTTACAAAGATCAGATGTCTGGTTTGGCCAGGAAGTCAGGTGGTTGGAAAAGTACGAGGAGACAGGTGTCAGCGATGACACCCTTTCCCCTCATTCTTCTGTCAAGATTTGTTCTTTTCTCTCGAGGCACCTAGCTTACTCTCAGATAGCTGTCACTTAACTTGACAGAGACCTGAATAGCAGAAGGGCCCCATTCAAAACTGGGATGCTAGCTTTTCATGTTCCTTTCCACCTATCTCCCTCACCTATCCCGTCATTATCCTATCTGTCCTTCAACTTAATTTTAGTTTATAGGTGACCAAATTGCTGCTTATCTTAAGGAGCTAACTTTTGCTCTTTCAGGGTTGCATGTATTTACCAGGAAGTACGATCAAGGAGATCGCCACAAACCCAGAAGAAGCGGGGAAGTTTGTCTTTGAAGTCATTCCAGGTAGGCAACCAAAGTGGGGGCAGAGGTACATTATATTCCCATCTTACTTCTGGATCCTAGAAGTCAAGGCTGAGTCTGTCAACCAGCTAACCAACCAACCTAGTAAGAATGCATAGTTGTTCTGTATATAGTTAATGAACCTATACTAGTTCATTAGCCTGCAGGCAAACTAAGTGGGCACATACTTGGTACAACTCTGGAAGCCTTTCGTCAGTGCACACTTGCAGCCAGGTGTTCCCTAGGCCCTGGGACACTGCTCGGAAAAGTACATCATTCCCGCTCACTGAAAGGAGCTCGGTTTTGAAGCTGAGTGGGACACTAAAATTAATAGTTAAAATATGGGGACCCTGGGTGGCTCAGTCGGTAAGCGCCCGTTTGGCTCAGGTCATGATCTCATGGTCTGTGGGTTCGAGCCCTGCGTCGGTCTCTGTGATGTCAGCTCAGAACCTGGAGCCTGCTTCGGATTCTGTGTCTCCCTCTCTCTCTCCCCCTCCCCTGTTCGCGCTGTGTCTCAAAAATAAACATTAGGGAAAAAAAAGAATCAGAGATTTAAAAAAAATAGTTAAAATATAAATTGAGTGATGTGAAACTGTCATTTTGGTAGGTCAAAAATGGTCTACAGTCAGTAGTCACATATGGTTCAACATGACCTAATAAGAAATGACAGCCCCAAATTACTGAGCACTTAATACATGTCAGGTGCTGAAATTCACTATTGTGCGTGTTAGCAGCGCACTAGAGGGTGCTTTTTCCCAGGCTAGAGTTACCTTCCTCAAATACATCTGGGGCAGGGGGAGGCTGTCTTTGTCTCAAGGGGAATCCGTGTTTGTGTGAGCCTAGCATGCAACTTTTCCTCTGAGGAGGAGGAGAGATGGATAGACCGTCAGATAAAAAAGCAAAGGAGTGCAGTTTGGAAAGGAGACCACCTGGGAAGAGCTGAACTTAAAAAAACAACAACTGTTTTTCTTTGTTTTCTATAGTAATAGCCGGTTTTAGGATTGATTTCTACATTATAATTTCCTCTAGTTATCCCCCAAATACCAAACATTTACATGGCACTAACTCTGTATCAGTCACTATACCAAGTGCACCAAATATATTTCTGCTTCCCCTGTCTCTTGCTCCTTTGCCGGCCCCAGCCCCACCGGGAACTCCAGAACTGCTGGTCTGGCTATGCAGCCAGGCTGACACAGCAGGGGAGGCTACGAGTCCCCTGAGTGGGCTCTCCTTCCCTTAACTGCCTCCTTACCACTCACACAAGGCAGCCGTGTGCATAAGAAATGACAAGGAAGCCAACATAGCAATGAGTTGAGAGTGCCCGGTCTGTAGCCATGCCACCCAGCTCCAAATCCTGGCCCTGCCACTTTCTATTTGTGTAACTGTGATCAAGTTATTTAATTTCTTCCTGTCTCTGTTTCTTTATCTGTGAAATGGGGACAATGATGATGACAGTGAGGGCTGATGAAAAGTATATTTGGCACACTGAGTATAGTGACTAATAGATAGTGCCTTATGAATGTTTGTTATTTGAGAGATAACTAAAGGAAATTATAATGTAGAAACCAATCCTAAAATTGGCTATTACTATAGAAAACAAAGAAAAACAATTTTTTTTTAAGTTCAGCTCTTCCTAGTTGGCCTCCTTCCCAATGGGCACTCTTTGCTTTTTTATTGCATTGTATTGTATTGTATTGTATTGTATTGTATTGTATTGTATTGTATGTGTATATGTATGTATTTATTTATTTATTGTCAAGTTAGCTAACATACAGTGTATACAGTGTGCTCTTGGTTTTGGGAGTAGATTCCTGTAATTCATTGCTTACATACAACACCCAGTGCTCATCCCAACAAGTGGGCTCCTCAATGCCCATCACTCATTTCCCCACTCCACTGTCCCCCACCCCATCAACCTTCAGTTTGTTCTTCACATTCAAGAGTCTCTTATGGTTTGCCTGCCTCACTGTTTGAAATTATTTTTTCCCCTTCCCTTCCCCCATGGTCCTGTGTAAGTTTCTCAAGTTCTAAAACATATGAGTGAAAACATATGATATCTGTCTTCCTCTGATTGACTTATTTCACTTAGCATAAGACCCTCCACTTCCAACCACATTGTTGCAAATGGCAGGATTTCATTCTTTCTCATTGCCAAGTAGTATTCCATTGTACATATAAACCAGTTTTCTTTTGCTTTAAAAAAATTTTTTTTATTACATTTATTTATTTTTGAGAGACAGAGTGAGACAAAGTGAGAGTGGGGGAGGGGCAGAGAGAGAGGGAGACACAGAACCCAAAGCAGGCTCTAGGCTCTGAGCTGTCAGCACAGAGACCAACGCAGGGCTCGAACCCACAAACTGTGAGATCATGACCTGAGCTGAAGTCAGACGCCTAACTGACTGAGCCACCCAGGCACCCTTCTCTTTTGCTTTTTTTTATCTGAAGGTCTTTCCATCTCTCTTCCTCCTCAAAGGAAGAGTTTATTTTTTTTCAGTCTCTCCTCTCTGAGAAACCCCCCTTCTTTTCCCACAAGTTTCTTCTAGTCCTAGGGCCCCTTTCCCAGAACAATGTGTGGGATGCAACCATCCATGGTAACATGTGTCCCAGAGCCTGAATTTTCTGTCAAGGGTAGCCCTACCAAGAGCTCTGGCTGCAAATTCGTGGTGGGCTTTGCACCAAAAGCCCAAAACCCCAAAACCCTTGAAGATTGCTGTGCTAGGGTGGGAAGATCTAGCTTTTCATTATCAATTACACTTGCTGTGGTCTCCTGATGCACATGCATCTGCACGTACATACATCTCATCAGAACATACAATTCTAAAGCAATAATAAGGTAGGGAACCATTTTCCTGAAGGAGCCATGATTCTCAAGTCTTCACCCAACTTAAAGTGAGGCACCTTTTGTATTATGATGTAGAGAATGTTTAGTTCTTCTTTTTGTCCTGCTCTTATGCAGGATGATTTCAGGGGCCAGTGTTGGCACAGGAAATGGCCTTCCTACTCAGGGCCCTCTCTCTGTGATCACCAGTGTCAGCTGCACAAAGGCCATGGAGAAGACTTTCACTGTATTCATGCTATGTTTTTTTTATTTGGGGAAGGCAAAAATTTAGGACAAGCTTCCCTCTCCCTACTTAACCTCTAGCAGAATAAACTGTTCTCTTTCCACCCAAAGGAAGTCATCAGGGATAGAGAGAGTTATTCCTTCTTTTGCATTTAATTCTTATACTGCCTTGTGGGTTGTTACAACAAGTTTTTTGAGTACCTGCTATGAACGAGGCATTATTGTAGGAATTGGGAATCCGGAAGAGAAGAAAACAGCCTACATGCAGGTTACAGTCTGATGGGGAAGACTGACAACAAACCAAATAAATGAGTAAATGGAATAGTTTTTATGATGGAATAAGCACAATGGAAAAGATTAAAGGAAAGAAAGAGAAAAAATTCTGATTGAGGTGGGGATGGTTGTGGTTCACTTATCATTTTGAACAGAGCAGGCACTCCAATGTGCCCAACATTAATTGTTTTGTAGGGCAACACAAGATTTTTGAATTCTCTTTGGTTTTGATCTCTTGAGCCTATCTAATACCATGGAGCTTCACCTTCTTTCACCCTTTGGGACCAGAATCCATCCTGTTATCAGGTCATCAGCTTTTTTGACCAGAAAGGTCAGTCCATATAAGCCCTGGCCATTCAGGAGCATCCTGAGAGCTGGATGTATCTCAATGAAGTAGAGACAAAACTAATGACAAAACTAAAAGATCTCCCAGGAATCAAGGTAAACTGAAAAGGCATGTTTTTGATAACACAACAGAGTGGAGAATAGGTATTATGGTGGAGAAGAGTACCAGATAAATTTTGGCCAAGGTCAAATTGAAAGCAGTAAGGGCTAGTGGCAATTATTGGGAGAAAGACCAGGGGCCTTGCCTTGAGTTTGGTGGTAACTTACTGGGTTCCAATGGGCAGTTCTCTTTGCATCTCTGGACTTGAGCTCCATTAGCTGTAGAGTTGAAATGATACTAGAGCCCATTCTGTTTCAAAGGGATATTGTGATTCTTACTGGATTCTTTACTTTTGCTCTGAACACTTTTTACTTCTCATTTTACTTCTGGAAACACCTAGCTCACAGGAATAGTCAGGGCCTCATGGACTGACTGTTCTGGTCAAAAGAGCTGATGACCCAATGATAAGATGGATTCAGAATCAGGTTGTCCCAAAGCATAAAAGGAGGTGGAGCTCAGTGATATTAAGGTAGGCTTTGTAAGGAAACCAAAGGGAATTTGAAAGTCTTTTGTTGCCCTGCAAGAATATACAGGTTTGGGCACAACTGGGGTGCCAGGACAGGCTTTTTTTTTTTTTTTTTTTTTTTTTTTTGAGAGAGAAATGCCCTGACATTGTGAGAAGAATGGGTTGATGTTTACACAGACACTTTGAAATTTAATAGTATCCTGTCATTGAAAGAGGCTGCTGTTATGTTCTTATCCTTCCCAAGACCTATGTTAGAGGCTTTTCTGTCCCCTCACTTCTCCCTCTCTGTCCCAATTTTTCTTTTTGTCACTTTTCCTTTCTTTCTCTTGGTAGCCTCTCCTTGCTCCACTCCTTTGTCAATTCCACCACCCTTTTATGCATTTGGTAACAAGAACCCAGGAAACATTACATATGTCTGTGAATAATCATGGGTTTAAATTGAAAATTGTACGGAAAGTCTTAATAAAATTCATTTGTCCATCAGCTATCTATGGATAACCTACCATGTGCAACGCCTTGTGTAGGCAGGAGAGTAGAAATTCTGGATAGGAAGCACTGATTTTGTGAGGAAGACACACATGTGCTCATTGTCTCTCCTTTCTGAGTTGCTGTTACCCTCCCCGTCTCAACAGCTGAGCTTATGAATAGCTTAGGAAAATGTCTGTGATGGTGTGAAGGACTAAAGTCCATCTCATACAGGCTGAGCCTGTCTCCTCTAACACTGACATTGCCCCTTGAACTTCCTCTTCCTTTCTGGGAGGAAATCGCTTCTGTCATCCATAGGAGCAGATCTCAGCCCAAGGCATCCCAGTTGCAAACCACTGATGCTCAATAGTTTATCTATAGAATTAGAGTTTCAGGTGCATAGCTCTTCAGTTCCCTTGAGGATAAGTAGACAATGCTTTGTGTTGTTTGACTGGTTGTTTAATTGAACCAAGGAAGCAGCTGAAGTTTGGCTTCCCTTCACTTTCCTTGTCCTGGCCTCTTACCACTTGAAGACCTTCATTAGTGTTACTTCTTCCTCCAGCCTCATGGGACCAGAGTCGCACTGGACAGGACTCCTATGTCCTCATGGCCAGCTCTCAGGCGGAGATGGAGGAGTGGGTTAAATTCCTTAAGAGAGTCGCTGGCACACCCTCTGGAGGTAAGGACCCTGCAGGCTTGCCTGGGCAGGTGTCTGTGACATCTCAAAGATGGGGAGACCACCAGAGGACAACTCTGAGGCCACACTCATTGCCAAGCATCTAGCTTCCCACCCTCTGTGACCTCAGAGAGCCAACTCTAGATTAGCTGGATGGACTGCAGCCCTTTGTACCTCATCGGCAAATGTGTGTGATGCCCTGAAGCAGCCTTTTCTCCTCTCTGGGCTGCAGTTGTCATTTGTAAAATGGGTGGGTTGGACCAGTTGACCCCAGTCCCCAGCAGCACCAACCTTCCGCAGCACCATGATTCTGCCTGGTTTTGGCCTTGTGGGGCCAGAGAGAATGGATGGCAAGAGCTATGCTGAAAGCTAAGAGGAGGTGATCAACACAGGACAGTTGAGTGGCTGGCCAGAGTAGGGGCGCTCAGACTGGGAGAGGTTCAGGAGATGCGTCCGGACTCTCAGGTTCTCGGTGAATTCAGGGTGAACACTTTTCTGGGTTCCATAACTCAGGTGTTTGAGTTTTCTGGGAAACCTGGTGTTGGGTCTGCACTAGAGGAAAAACCGCTATGAAAAAAAAATCTGCAATTAACAAACAAGTGAATCCACTGTGTGTTTTTTCCTGTTATAAAAATATGAAGAACTGATACGGGTGATCTCCACTGACCACTTTCCTTCAACTTTTTAGGAATGCACTTATTTGTGTCAGCTCCAGGATAACTGTATATAACTGTTTTTTGACTGTCCTGACTGTTATTCTGGAAATCATGGCAGTGAAATGTGAGGTGAGGGGTTCTTATAGTTCAAATATTAAATATTTATTGGATTGCCCAATGGTTTCTTTAAAAAAAATTATGAGCACCGTAACAATTTTGTGGAAATCTGAAAAAATATGGGAAAACAGTCACCCCTACAGTCAGCAGAGGAATTTTTATGTTTTCCATCCAGTTGGTATTCATATATACATTTCTTTTTTTCCCCCAGAATGACAAGCATGGAATATATACAATTTAATACCTTTTATTTTATAGCTAAAGGGGTTTTCCCATGTTGTTAGATACTCTTAATTAACTCATTCCAGGGATTATTTGGTTACAAAAAATAGAAATTTCATCCAATGATGTTAGGCAACAAAGAAGGATTTACTGGGTAGGTACAGTAGCTACTCAAAGAAACCAAGGGAGAAGTGGTAAGAGGGCTCAAGAGATTAGGGCCCAAGAACTGAACCATCAGCCCAGAACTTACCCTGTCAGTTTCTCTGGGACCCATCAGCTTCGCATTCTGCTTTTCTCTGCCTGCCTGTTTTTGCGTCCTTAGCAGCGTTCTGGCACTTACTCCTGGCCCAATCCAGCTGTGCCAGCCCCAGCTTTCCTGTACCTCTCTCTCGAGCACAGCAGAGGCCGAGCTCAGCCTCCACCACCCCATTCCATACTCCTGAGAAGGAGGATCCATCTGGATAGCTGGGGGCAGGAGACCACTTTCAGACTCAGGAGCTGGGGCAGGGAGGTGGTCCTGTAGCTGGTGATCTGCCCTGCCGGGCCTGGGAGAGAAGTTACTGATAGGACACCCAAACTCAAGAGTGCTTGCCACAGCCATCGTGAGCAGCCGCATCGTATTACAAAAAGAATAGCCTCCTTTCAGGAACCATTTCCCAGTTCCTAAATATGGTGTTTTTTACTGTGCTAATCAGTCCAAGATGAGGTTTTCATTTATGAAAGCTCTCTTGTATACCATTCAGCCTGGATAATCTTTTTTTTTTTTTTTTTTTTTTTTTTTTAATTTTTTTTTTTTTTTTAATTTTTTTTTTCAACGTTTATTTATTTTTGGGACAGAGAGAGACAGAGCATGAACAGGGGAGGGGCAGAGAGAGAGGGAGACACAGAATCGGAAACAGGCTCCAGGCTCCGAGCCATCAGCCCAGAGCCTGACGCGGGGCTCGAACTCAGGGACCGCGAGATCGTGACCTGGTTGAAGTCAGACGCTTAACCGACTGCGCCACCCAGGCGCCCCTCAGCCTGGATAATCTTAGCTGTGACCCTCCTTATTGCCCCAGATTGTAAGACTGTGAGCCCCATCGATGTTTCCTGCTTTCCTCAGTCCAGCGCTTTAGGCAGCCTGCATTGACAAGGGTAGTGGACATTGCCTAATTATGCACTTATTCTGAGTCAAAATGCTGTCTCTGTACTATAGCAGCCTCTGTGCCTTATATGGTGCTGGGTTCAGCCTTACCATGATGAGCTGCTGTACTGAGTCCTAATCTACATGGGGATTTCTTCCTTACCCCACCTCAAAGGGCCACCACTTGAGAAGCAAGTCAAGCATAAATCCTGCAGTCAGGGGAAAGTCCAAGGGACGAGAAATAAGAGCACAGCATATTTACTTATTCAGAGAACAGGATTTGTCTCTGACGTGGCATTTCAGATGTTTCTGAAGCCTCTCATGGAATCTGAATGCTAGATCTCAGGATGAGACGGCATTTTAAGACTGAGGTCACGAGGCAAGCCAGACATTTGCTCTTCCTGTTTGTAAGTCAGGAAACTGGTGTCCTGAGAAAATAGATGATTAGTCCAAGGAGCCCAGTTGCCGAGGAGCGGGGCTGAGTCTCCTACCTCTGTAGGCAGCTCTTATCACAGGCTGGTCCCACTTGTAAAGTGCCTCTGATCTGTGGTCCACTAGGTCTGCAGGGCATGCCCCCTGAAATATTGGGAAGTCACTGAGATGTGTTGCTGCTGCCTCTTTCCAGCCCTTCCTGAAGCTTTCTATGGCTTTCCCCACCCAGAACCTGCTCCCTTCTTACCATCTCCACTACCACTATCCTGGTTGACATACCATTCTGTCTTGTCTGAATTACAGCAATGGTCCCCCAACTTCTTTTGCTCTTCCCCAAATACCTTAGGCATGTTCCTGCCTCAGGCACATTGCAGTTTGCTCTGTCTGGAATCCTCTTTCCCTAAGTAGCTGTGTGGTTTGGTACCTTGCTTTTTACAAGTCTTTGCTCAAACATTATTACCTCAGTGAACCTTCCCCCAATCATCCCATTTGACATCGAACCCCTTCCTTGACCTACCCCCAGCCCTCACTATCTCTCTTTCCTGCTTAATTTTTCTCCTTAGTACTACCCTCTTATAACATGCTAAATATTTCACTCATTTGTTCATAGTTGGCCTCCCCTGGCTAGAAGGAAATCTTCAATCTACTTTGTAGGAATTTTTTTCTCTGTTTCATTCAGTGCGGTATCCCAGAATCTAAACAGTGCCTGGTACAGTAGATGTGAAGGAATGGCCTTCTCTTCCCATGCTGGTACTATGTTCTACTCCCATTGGCTCTCTTCTTTGCTAACTGACCATGTGGGAAATTATTTGGTCACTGGGCTGCTGCCTCTAGAATGATCTCCCTCTGAGTGTGGTAATGATGAGCTTTGGTGAAACTCTTCATGGTTTGTAGACCCCTTAAAGAATCTGATAAAAGTTATGGAAACTCTCCCTGGAAAAATGTTCAGACAGAATAATTTTGTGTTCAACTGCATTCAACTGCAGATGCCTGTAGTCCATTTGTATGACCTGGATAATGAGTCCAAACTGTTCTAGAAGTCACTCTAGTAACAATTTTGCAGAGCTAAGACCCTTTTTGCCCCAGTCTCTTTCTGGCTCCCTTTCTCCCTTGACAAGAGAAATGGCCCACACAGTTCCCACGGCACATCCAACTTTTCCCCCTTGGCTCCTCCTGCCTCATAGCTGACTCTGAACATTCCTCTCACTTTGTCCCATTCTGTGACCAATTCTAGTGTATTTCTCCACACGTCCCAGAAATTCTTGGACACCAGCTGGATGTCCTACAATTTAACTAAACTCTGATGCTATCTACCTAGAGATAACATCAGATTCCACAGCTTAAGGGCTCAGTCCTGCAGGACGTGTCCCCTTCCACGCATTTCAGGTGCCAAATTCAAGTCCAGATGGTCACTTGTACTTCTGACCCAAGGCTGTAGATTGGAGGTTCCAATGATCCCCTCTTTGGGGTCAATTAATTTGCTAGAGGGGCTCACAGAATTGAGGAAACGAGTTCACTTATTAGGTCATCAGTTTATGATAAAAGGATATAACTCAGACCAGCCACATGGAGGAGATGTGCAGTGAAGGCTGTCTGCAGGAGTACCACTCTTCTCCAAATCTCCACATAACATCAACCCAGAAATTCTCCAAACCCCATCCTTTTGGGTTTTTATGGAGGCTTTATTGCATCTGCATGATTGATTAAATCATGGGCCATTAGTGATTGAACTCAATCTCCAGCACCTCACCCCTCCCTGGAGATCAGGGGGTAGGGCTGAATGTTCTAACCTAGGAATCACTAAGTTGGTTCCACTAGTCAATTAGTCCCTTATCTTAGGTGCTTTTCAAAACTCACCTCATTAATATAATAAAAGATACCTTTATCTCTCTCATCACAGGAAATTCCAACAGTTTTAGTTAGGAGGTCTGTGCCAGGAAATGGGTGAAAGACCAAAAATACATTTCTTATTATAAATCACAATGGAAAGCACCACCTTGGTGCACCTTGCTTTTCCAGCCTTTTCCTTCGTAGCCAGCCAGTTTATCTCCCCCCCCCCCCCACTATTCTTTCCAAAGGACCTGACTGGAAAAGTTAGATTAATTTTTTCCCATAAGTTCTGGATGTAATTCCAAGTTTTCCTGATTTAAGTAGAAGAAAGGGAGAGATGTGATCACATCTGGACTTCTAGTGACTTGTCCCCTGGCTCACAGCTGCCCCCTTTTCTATAAACCACCTCCTCCCTGAGTAGGAGGGCTCTGTCCTTCCAGGATCCCCACACTGAAACCAGGTGTCTGTCCCACTCCCAGGGAACAGGCAGGCCACATTGCAAATTGCTGTTTAGTGGGAACCTGCTTTGCTCTCTTGCTCTGGAGGCTGGCCTCTCCGTCTTTTTCTCAGGCTACTGCTGGGTATATAAGCACTGCGCTGAATTGTGCCTAGCTATTCTCTGA